GCTTTATTCAATGACTATCTCTTTATTTTAGCAACACACCAAATGCTGGCTGATGCAGGCACACCTCCTGCAGCAGGTCACCCACAAGATTAGACAATTAAAATGGTCCAGAGCCTGGCCCTCTGTTGGTTCTTACCATTTACCTCACATGCCCATTATGTGATGTATTTTCCCCTCTTTTGGTGGCCTTCAGTATCCCTCAATGAATGATACCAGACCGCCCCCCCCCCAAAAAAAAAGCAGGAAGATCTGTAGAGACTAAGGACTCACTTGATAAAACCAATTCCTAGATTTAGTTTCTGACAGATGGTGAATGGTGAGAATTTTTTCAACCAAAGTAATTTTAATTCATGTAAACATTATACATAAATCACTCTACCTACTTCCCCATCCTGCTGATCTCTGGGAGTAAGCACACAGAGGAGGAACAATGTCTGCACACATCTTGCCAGGCAGCTTGCAACTATGGAAACTCAGCTTCCTTCCTTTATCTGCAGAGGGAGAAGAGTTCCTTCTTCCACCTGACAGAACAAACTTATGAAAATATATAACCTTCCTACAGATAAAAATGACCACTTAGTGATTATTTTAATTTATCCAATGAGTTCCTAGAACTGCTCATTGTCTATGAATTACTTCACATGTAGTCAGGTCAAATGCTGCTGATGACCACAACGAGGAAGGCAACAGTAACAGCCACAGCCACAAGTGCCTGGTTTATTGGGGAGGGGGGCTTTTCAAACATTCATGAGTAACTGCTACTACATATGGAGGCTCTATGGAGCTATAGTTCTATTAGCTGTCTCGGTAGTGATCTGCTTCAATAATCAAGATCAAACTATAAAGGGCTTACTCACACATACCAGTATGAGATTCTTCCTTGCCTTGATACTTTTGAGTTATACAGAATCTTTAAGATTTAAACTGCAAGCTCATAGGGTCAGGATCAGAGGTTATTCTATGTCCTCTGAAGCAGTACCTGAGATGTGCTGCTGGCTGCCAGATTACATAAGTCACTTACACCTCAGTGTACACACACACACACACACACACACACACACACACACACACACACGGTATGTCAGCAAAAAATAAGTTATTGTCAATCAACTTTTGTCGATTAGGTCAAGAGCCACCTTAGTTAAAGTGACTGTCAAAAAGTTTATACATCACACCATCACTCAGCTGCTACTACCACTGTCTGTTCTTCCAAAGCTCCAGTCTAGGAAGTGTGGTATTTCTTCAAGAGGCCTTGCTTCATTTTTTTCAAAACGAAGTATTTTACATGCCCTGTAAAAAATCAAGAAGGATGAACAATGATGGGTAGGTCACTCCAGACAAAGATGCCAAGAAACCAGAAGCTTCTTCATGGTGTCTTCAGGGGCACAGGGTAATCAAAAGTCAGAAAAGGCACTACTCTTCCAAGGAATTCTGTATGACAATGACCTCAACACTACTCACAAAAAATGTCAGTAATCAAGGCAAGCAGTGGCTCAGTTACACCTGTGAGGAACCAAGACAAAGCAGAGTATAGACCAAGGACTCAGGAGTCCAGCTTCCAAGGGCAGAGTTTATGTCTGGTCCTGGCATGCTCTTCCAAGAATCTGAGATTCTGATCAGCTGGCATAGCTGGATGCTGCTATGACAAGAGCCAAAAGTTCCACTGATGTGGGGAGATTTGTGCAAAGGGGAAGAAGACAAGCCCACAAAACAGACCCCTCCCTGCCCTCTCAGATAACCTGGGAGTAAGCCAAGAGCCTACTCAAAACGGCTATGAATTAACCCAACATGGTCTATAGGAGTGAATGACTTAAAGCAGAGGAGGTTCTCTAAGGAAATTAGCCGACAAAAGCTTGATGCAAATGTTACCAAATGGATGATCTCCAGTAAGATCTTAGGAAATTGAGACTGAGTGAACTTCTGGGGGGCTGTCAACTAAATCAGCTACAAAGTAGCCTTGTGATTTCAGGACCTGCTCAGTGCAAGTTAAACATTTTCAGCTATCAAAAAACAAATACTGAGGAGCAAGGTATGGTGGTCCCTGTCTGTGTCTGTAATTCCAGCACTAGGGAGGCTGAGGTGGGAAGATTGCCATAAGTTTGAGGCCAGCCTGGACTACATAGTGAGTTCAACATCAGCATGAACTACATAGAGAGACCTTGTCTCAAAAACCAAAACACACATAAATAACAAAACAAACCAAAAAACTAAAACAAAACACAACAAAACACAACAAACGCTAATGGTTTCACTAATATTCCTCTTTCCTGATGTTCTCATTTTCCATTCTAAATCTGGTGTAAAGATACCAGGACTAGAGCTGTGGAGCTGCCACTAGACATGGCCACACTGACAATCTGAAAGAAACACACAGGAAAAACTTTTAAAATGAAGTACTATGAGTAAGGGTTCTTGGAATAAGACAGCTCTTCACTGACCAAGGACTAAATACTATGGCAATCACTGTCCAAATTAAGATGAATTCTATCCAATATTCTCTACTTGATCACACAGGGGCACAAACATTCATCTTAAGAAAGACTTCCAAATATTTGTATCTTTCACATCAAATGCTGGGACCACTGTTTCAGATTTTAGAGGTTTTGAATTTTTAAATATATGCATTTGACTTCATAAGTTCAGAATCTAAATTCTAAATCCTCCAAATCCTATATTCTTTAGCATTATGTTGGCATTCAAAATGTTCTGAATTTTGGAATATTTTGGAGTTTACACTTTAGGATTAGGATGTTTAACCTACATAATTAAATTATAGAGAAAAGCCTACTTAATTGAAATCCATGAATTGCAGAAATTCATCTATAACTGAAGAGTTATGGAGCACACTGCCTGTGCTTTCTCTGGACAGATGCCAGCAAAACCACCACAGAGCGCTACTCTGTAAAACAATCTACCATTAACTTGATTTTTTTATAAAGTTTTTGTCAATAAGCCACTTAATTGAGTGATTTTCAAACTATTCCACTACAGTGTAGCAGTCATTTGGAGGAAGCTGGACCGCAGCCCCCAAGAGCCAGGGCAGCTCTAATCAGATTGTACTTCTGTTAGCACTGAATCTATGCTCAAACACATCTGTGGAATTCATCTAGATAAGGCAACCTAAAGCAGTAAGATTTATTCCAAACCATTAGAACTGCCAGAGGAAACATAAACAGGGCTCTGATGCTTTTGCTAACTGATCCTTCCCAGACCTATCATACTAGTCAGCTGCACACATGGCAGGCACACAAGAATGACACTGGAAATGTGAATGTTACATCACCATGGGGTTCCTTGGACTGTAACAAAAACCCTGTATGTAAATACACATGAGTAATGGGAACAGGGGAAGAGGCATTTTAAATTCAAGGTAGTCCTATTTATGGCTTTCTCTAAAGCAGCGATTTATCTGTCATCCTCGACCAGCATGGGACCAGTGAGTCTTTCAGAACTGCAAGACATGCATTCAGTGCCACCAAGATGCTTCATTTGAGAAGTGATACAACTCAGTTTCTTAGAGCCTTATGACAAAACCACTGATATGATACAAGATCTCAAACATCAAAAAGAAAAGGCTACCAGCTGCTGGGAACTTGTCATCAAACTAATTACTTGACTAATTGCCTAGGTCAATGAACTAGATAGGTATGATTCACTAAACTGATTTGAACATGGAGTTTCTATACTATTTAGCTACCTACTCAAATTATGTACCTATCTAGGACTCAGGGGCTCAACTAGAATAAAACTGAAAGAACTCTTTGATTCTGGAGTTTTCCTTTACCAGTGAACTCGGAAGCACTGAACTACCTTCACAAAAATTGGATGAACAGTAAGTGCTAATGAGGTCCTAAACAAAGGTCAGGCGAACCTTTAATACATGAACACAGTGCCCAAGGATGCTCCCAATCAGTGAAGGGGTCACCCTGGTCCTCGCTTGGTCAGAGCCTCAACAAAGGCAGAGTGGTGTCAAAGGAAAGAAAAGTGAAAGCCATCACTGGAGGGTGGTGAGCAGCCCACTCAAAGATAATGTCCTTTCCAGAGTGAAGCTCTGGAATCAAGTGGTACTCATTTCTCCATGCAGTTGCTGCTCCTTAAAATCAAAACCATCACAGCCATGTGTAAACGTGCCCACATGTCAACCCACATCAGAACACACCACTGGCAATTCGGTTGTAAACTGGAAATCTTTAAATTCAAGCACTATGTAAAAGTGGACATATCCTTTTATGAAGTTAGGCAGGTGCTTACAGTTGTGGAGTCCATGCACTACTACCCTGTCACCTGGCTACACACAGCCTGGGTTCTGCCTCTTCCTGAGCTATGATGTAGAACCACCTAGGTTTTACAACCGCGTTTCACAAAGTTTACAAGAGTTTAAAGACATGAACACGCCCCACAGCTTCTATTTCAGCAACAAGCCTGAAATTCGTCCAAATTGTCCTGTATGCACAACTACCCCAAGTTGTCTTAACAAATGTTGAGTCCATCTATTACTGAAGAAAAGAATACAATTATTTTCTCAAAGGAAACAATTTCAGATCACTAAGAATTTATTTGTTTTTTTTCTTTTTTGGGGGTTTTTTGAGACAGTGTCTCACTATGTAGTTGAGACTGACCTGGAACTCACTATGCAGCCCAGGCTGGTCTCGAACTCGGCGATCCTCCTGCCTCAGCCTCCCGAGTGCTGGGATTACAGGCGTGCGCCACCACCCTCGGCACTAAGAATTTCTTTTTTAAACGTAAAATGCCTCCGGAATAGAACAATCACAAGTGGCGACTACACAGCTTTAAAAAGCCCCGAAGCAGCCTGGGTCTTCCTTTACCTAGAGCAGCTCCTCTCGAGCCTCCGGTGCAGCTTCAGAACCCTTCTACTTAGAGCTCAGACGTAGACTTCTCAATCCCCGGGGCCCGCCTCCCCTTCAAGGAGCAGGACCTCCCTCTCTCCCCTAGAGAGCTCCTCTTTCCAGACCCTTCCCTCACAGGCCCGACCCACTCACCCGGGGGCCACCACCTGGCCCGGCTGTGCGCACAGTTCCCGCACCACGCCGGCGCGTTCAGACCGGAGCCTTCGCTCGGTCCGCAGACGTAGACTTCTCAATCCCCGGGGCCCGCCTCCCCTTCAAGGAGCAGGACCTCCCTCTCTCCCCTAGAGAGCTCCTCTTTCCAGACCCTTCCCTCACAGGCCCGACCCACTCACCCGGGGGCCACCACCTGGCCCGGCTGTGCGCACAGTTCCCGCACCACGCCGGCGCGTTCAGACCGGAGCCTTCGCTCGGTCCGCGA